CAAAGACCCCCATGCTGACCTTGCGCCTCCTTTCATCCCGAGCTGTATGCAGGAGGTCTTTCTGGAGTATGAGGGTAAAAGCAGCAGGTGGACTGTTTCCATTTCCTTCTACCCATCCCACCAGAGTTCCGCAGTGGTTGGAGTTCCTGTCCTTCACCAGAAGGACCTGCAGTTTCTTGTTCTGGGAGGAGTCATTGACAAGCATGTGAGCAGCCCCATAGGGCTGAGGAGAGGGTGGGGAGCTGTGTGCTGAATATGGGTCATGCAGCCGGCTCGTCTGGACGAGTAATGCAGCAGAACCCACAGTCAGCCGGTGAGCCTCACACCGCCGTGGGGTAGGGAGTCGAGAAGGAATTCTGCAACTCTGTGGTCTGAGGCAGCCTGCCCTTTGGCGCTGAATCCCTTCTTTGCTACAGAAAGTTTTCTTTGTATTAGATTATTTTGATGCTCATGCCTTCGTAAGCCACGTTTAAGGTTTCTCTTTAATAATGTTGAAAGAAAATTTAGCCTTCCTGTCTGACATTTTCTACAGTATCATTGACTAGCTTTTACCAGTCAATGGGAACAGAGAGTTCAAGAAGAATCCCCAAAACAAAGAGGCCAGGCAATCGTGATTCTAATGGAAACTGAAACATGGCGTGTAGCTTGTACTTCAGCTTGCACAGAAGTGTCCACAGGCGAAGGGAGAACAGGGTCCTCGTGCTTGGTATCTCCTTGGTGTAGTTGTTTCTTTCTAGGTCTGTTTTCTCCCCTTCTCTGGAAATCAAGAGGGTGAGGATCTTGGATCCAGATCTGAAATGATTTTTTTTGAAAACCTTTGCTTTTTCATGAGGGAAACATTTCTGTGGGCTGTGGATTTTGTTTTAGACTGCCTGGGGAGTGTGTCTACCAGGTCTCATGGCACACACCAGACAAATGCCATTTGGAAATATGGAAAGCACACAATTGTATCTATTTTTGAAACTCGACTAGAGACCACCCGTGGCATAAACTGTGTGGCTTCCAACTCTGAAAAGAGCATCCACCACTCCTGAATTCTTGTGTGCTGAAAAGAAAATGGGACTGGCAAGTGGATAAACAAAATATGCTATATCCATGGGAATGGAGTCTTACTCCAATACCTGAGTAATACATAGAAGCAAACTAATGAGAGATGCCCTGACATGGATGAACTTTGAAGAAGCCAGATGCAAAGACTTTGCATTGCATGATTCCATTTATATGACATGTCTGGGGTAGGCAAATCTATAGAAACAACAGGTAGATTAGAGGTTGACTCAGAGCAGGTTTGGGAAGTGACTGGATGAATGCAAGAAATCCTTTCAAAGCTAACAGAAATATTCCACTACCAGAATTTATTTAAAAATCAGTGAATTTTATGGATGTAAATTACAAGACAATAAAGTTGCTTAAAGAAACAAAGCCCAAAATGAGATGCAGAATTGATGGCTTGGTGCCTGTGACCGTGTTAGAGAGGACATGAGAAGGGGGAGTGGGTACCGTCAAAGTCTCCCCGTAGGTGAGAGCCCAGTAGTGAGTTCTGAGGAGGCTGCAAATTAAATGGCCACATTTTCTGACCCAAAAGTAGAACAGAATGAGGCGATGTCCTAGGTGCTTTGCACTCATCTTCTCATTGAATTGGCACTTAATTCTCATGGCAGCCCTGCGGGAAAGGTGTAGCAGGGAGTACCCATATTTTAAAACGAGGCTGAGGCTCAGGGGATTTGAATCCTGTAGACATTCAAAGTCTATTGTTGTGCCAGCAAGGCACAGGGCAGTTTCTCCAGTAGTTTGGGCAGATGGATGAAGGAGAGACCCGGAACCATCAGTGGAATTTTCAGGCTTTAATGTTCTTTCTACACCATTGTGTGGGTCAGGCCCCCCAGCCCCAGTGAAGTCTTTACTCATTTCTTCCTCTGGGCTTTCTCTGGTGCCGTCGCATTGTCCTGTCTCTCCAGTCACTCATCCTGCTGTTGATTCCACCCTAACCATTCTGTGAGTCACCGACCTCTTAGCCTCAGCCTCCAGGCACAGTTGCGCGCACTGCGCATGCTCACACCACACTGCAGGCATCCGCCATCAGGCGTGCGTGCCCCATGCCCAGGGTCTCAAGCGCCTCCTGCATATAAGGCCCTAGGTGATAGCCACAAAGGCCAATGGCATGCGTAAAGCCTGAGCAATTCACTTACCCTCCACCATAGATGAACTATAGTGATTCAACCCAGGTCTTCTTGGCTCCAAAAACAATGCCATTTATAATAAAAATGCTACCACTTTAGAGAAAGTGCATTTAGCAGTGTTTTAGGAAACGATGAAATGAGTAGTTACAAACAGTTGTTTAATGATTAAGTAATTAGAGAGTCTGACAAATCTGGCTCTGCTAGTCTGCATCCGACTTTGGCTGCCGCCTTATTTTTTGCAGTGGACAATTATTGGGCTTCTGGGTATATGTCTATGGAATTACAAGTCTTCCCTTCTTTGTTCTGCTTGTGTGATTATATATAATATATATGCACATTATGTATATAAACATATATATATAATATTCCTTGATAAATATTAATCAATATCTATCTATGTATTTGTGTGTGTGTGTCAAGGAATATTTCACACATTCCATAATAAAAGAATAAAGAATATTTCTATATGCCCCAGCTAGTTGAATAAGTACAAGATTATCTGGTGTGCTTTTAAGAAAGCTCATACTCATAAGCAAAAGTCTGGGTTTGAGTCAGAAAAACCTAGATTCAAATCCCAACTCTAGCATTTACTACCTTGGAGAAGACAAACTCTGGGCCTCTTTCTGTAAGAGAGGAATTCAGGGATATTGTACATCAGAGACCTGAATTGTATACATACTAATTAGTCGTAGTTCTTGTTATTATAAGCTATATAACCTGATGACACCTGTAAAAGACACTAAAAATGAACCTTATATATATTTCATCTTTTCCTGTGATTAGCTCTTCTTCTCCCCTCCTGTACATTTGATTCTTGTGGGGAAACTTTTTCCCCAAGTTTCTAAGCAGGTGGTCACCAGCATTACCTGTTGATTGCATCCCTAACACTCAACACTAACCAACTACCTGGGTGACCACAGATGTGTCACTCTCTCCATTTCCTCAATGGTAAAATGAGGAGCCAACTAAATCATTTCTCCAAGCCTCATATTCTGCGTCCTAATGCACCCCCGAGAACATTTGGAAGCCTAAAAGAAACAGAGATAGATGTATGCTTCCCCTGTGGTTTCCTTAGGATCGAGAAGGAAGCAGAGCTGAAGGATTAAAGCTAAACTGCCCAAAGAAGCTGGACAGTTTCTCTGCTGCCTGCATTTCACACAGTGGCTAATAAACATCTTCATTTGTCCAGGTCAACCCTGGCTTCCTGATGTAATTAAAAGCTCCTCCTTTGCATTTTGAAAAGAATCCTGGCTTGCATGATAAATTATAAGTTCATCATAGCAAAAACCATTTTGGCAGGATGGCGCTTGGAGCTGTTTGGGAATCTCATACAGGAGTCTGGGGACTCGGTCCTCATAAAACAACAAGCAGAGAAGGACTTCAGTGTTTACATCGTGCTTTCACATACCTGCTCTCATTTGCTCTGCAAACCAACTTTGTGATGAGGCAAGTTGTGCCAGACAATTCAGTGACATGCCCAAGGTTGCACAGCGACTAAGTGGTAAAGACTGGAACTCACGACTTGGGTTTCCTGTCAGTCTTTTCCCGGGATCGGAATCTACTAGTTCCAAAAGTAGCATTTAAGGTTGACTTCTAGTTTGTGTTGTCAGTTGCTACAGAGCCTGGAGAGAGACGCTGCAGCGACAGGAAGTAATCCAGCCTGGCCTAATCAGATCACAGTCCTGGAGCTGGCAGGCTGCCTCTCCTCCCTCCCAGAATGGGGCTTGTTTCTGAAAGAACCCCATTCAAACCTTCTGCCTCTCAACAGGTCTTTGCCGGAAACTTGTGTTCCCATATCAGCAGCCTCTTTCCAGCCCAGGGTCATCCTGGAGGTGTGCATTACCCACACCGGGAGGTTGTCCTTTCTTGGACCCTACTCCCTATAATCTCCTTGGCCAGTTTGGAAAAAGAAAATTATCCTCCAGTCAGAGCAAAGAAAGAAGGATCCCCAGGGTTCTTCCTTCTGGGGAGAGGGGCGCTCCGGCTGGGTGGCCCTTTCCTTCACCCCCTGGGTCAGTTTATACCCTGGCCGTCACATCTGGTATTAAAAGAACTGCATACAGGGAGGGATTGCCCAGGAGAAACACCCCTGAGATCTATTGGCTTTGCCTGTGAATAAATGTTTTATTCCTTCTCTGTACCTCTTCATGCATGCCTTGAGGCAAATGCATTTTAACATCTAAAAACTCCATCTGGAATAAAACTGTTCTTGTCCCCACTGTGCTCTAATTTCTTTTAATATCCGAGAAGTTCTGTGAGTTCTTTATGGAAGCAAGTTCTACAAGCAATCCCCACACCCAGCCCAAAGTAAGAGTTATTTCTCCGGCGGATGAGAGAGGAGAGAAGGATGACCAGGGAACACAGTGCGAGGATTTCTGACTTGGCACAGCTGGGCGACTTGAAGCATAGAACAGGGACTTGGCAGAGCCCCTGAAGACCCGCGTCTCCCCTGGTGCCAGACGCGCCCTGGTCCCCAGATCACTGCCTTTGCCTCTCGAGCAAGCTCTGTCTTGCTCGGGACTCTGACTTTTTCTCTGTGCCCTTAACTCCCAATTTCCTCCTGGCACTTGCCAGACATCCATCCAGTTGCTACTTGTCTCGTGTATCCTCGTTTCTCCCAGCGGGGAGGATAAGCTAATTTCTTTGTGGTTTAGGCCTGATTTTAATTGACTGTGATACCAATTAAGTGTTCAGGAAATCTGTCATATCCTACAGGAATTAAACTCATGTGAGGGCTGAGACAGCCCATTGGAGGGGAGTAGGAGGCAGTGCTCAAGAAAAGCCATCCTATCTGACAAGAATTTTTTTTTTGTCTTGCAGAAATCAGGAATGGAAACCTCAAGGCCATTCTAGGCCTCTTCTTCAGCCTCTCCCGGTACAAACAGCAGCAGCAACAGCCCCCAAAGCAGCATCTCTCCTCACCGCTGCAGCCTGCTGTGTCCCAGGCGGCCGGGGCCCCCTCCCAGTGCCAGCCTGGCACTCTTCAGCAACAGGTGCCAGCCACTCCCCAAGCACCGTGCCAGCCTCACCAGCCAGCGCCTCATCAGCAGTCAAAAGCACAAGTTGAAATGCAGTCCAGGTGTGGTTCCTTGCCAATTGAGAATTCTCTTGCTCAGGCCTCCGTTGGCCACCGACCGAATTCTAGCCTATACTGAACATGCCTATCCTTGAGCTTCTTCAGTGTTGAGAAGGGTGGGGAATCAGTGGGGGAGGAGCATGTGCAGGAGGCCCCTCTCCGTGCCTGGCAGGGATATGTGCTCTCCCAGGTCAGAATCACCAGCAGCCACAGCTAATGAGCTGTGCCTGCCCTAATTCTAGCCTGTGACACAGACACACATATGCAATAAACAAACCCTAAAATAGACTTCACACTTCTCTTGCCTGTTCTGTGTTAATACCTGAGGGTAATCTCACTTAGTGGAAGCTCGAGAAATGCCTTCCTTTCTGTTAGAGAAGTCTAGAATACCCAAAGGTGGCAGGTGGTTCTTAGCAGAGAAATAGGAGGCCATGTTCCCTGAGGGCAGTGCCCCCTGAGGAGAGCAGTTAGTTTAGCTGCTGCTGGGTCTTACTGACCTTAGAGTGGGTAGTAGAGTCAGCTGGGGTTCTCTGCTTTGGAGAATTAGAGCCTGGAACTGGTTGGTGTTTCCAGAGAGGTGATGCTTGCTTTTGGGATTTACCAAGGAACCATAGAGTGACCAACAAACAGACATTTTATAGTGGGAAGGCTCGCATTAAAGAGCTCTAGGAGAGATCACTTTGTAAACTGTTCATTTTAATATGGGGTGGGGAGAGGAAAGAAAATTTGGAACAAGAATGTTTTTGACTTGTAACAAAGTTCTGGAGAACAGTTCAGTGTTTTTGTTTTTTGAATAATCTATAAACCTTTAGCTGTCAAACCTGAATGTCACTGGTCAAGTGGACTACTTGATTTCACTGAAGTTGTGCTGGTGTTCATAATCTTCAGGCTTCTCATGAACCTTCAACCCTTATTAGTTGGTCATAGCATTGAGGATGTTAAACAGCATCTGCCTTATCAATGGTTTCAGCTTTTTGTCTAGGGGGTGTGCTATTTCCTGACTGTGAGGGTGTTAAGAGCAGCAGTGAGGTAATGTAAATTAGATCCTCTAATGGCTTGATTATATCCAAGTCACATTATGGAAATTGGGGATTGCAGAGCCTAAACTAGCAGTAAGCAGCCAGACACTGCCCTGAAGCACACCTGAGTAGGGGGCTGTTTCCTGATCAAAGTCATCTGGGTGATTGAATGGTCAGGACATCATTTCCCAAACTGCTGTCTGCAGAGTGCAGACCGTGCCTTGAGGGGAAGGGTTTTTGCAGAAAAAAAAAGGGAAATAATTTGGCATAAGTTGTTTTATTGCAGGTCTACTCAGATCCTTTTCAGATCCTTTGATCAGACAATAGACCCTCATTTATTTATTGATGTTTGAATGTCTTCTGCATGCTAGGCCCTGTTCTAGGCTGACTGAACCATTCTTTCTATAATATACTGGAGGTGGCAGGCAAATAAACAGGAAGAAAAATAGAAGATAGTAAAATTATAATAGGATAATAGTAGTCAGAGAAATTAGTCTGATAGGAAGTTTTCTCTGAGAACAGGGCACCAAAGTGGAGATAGAAACGACAAGTAGTGAAACCATCCAGTATTTTTCTTTTTATTTCTGGCTTATTTCAGTAAGCATGATCTTTGCCAGTTTCATCCAGGTTGCCACAAATAGCATGATGGCACATGGGTGAAGTGGTGGTAGGAAGTTCACAGGGGTTACAACTGAGATGGAAAAAATGTACAAAATGAAGAATAATGCAAAAAATATATAAAATTGAAAAAATTGAAAATTAAATTAAAAAAAAAAGAAATAACAAGGAGCAAACCAGGCAAAACTCAAGTATGGAGCACAGAAGGAACTGCTGGTGCAAAGGCCCTGTGGTAGGGGTATGCTTGGGAGGTTGGAGGAGCAGAGCGAAGTCTAGTGGGGATGGAGCTCTGTGAGTGAGGGGAGATGCGAAATGGTAAGGTAACCCGTAAGCAAAGTGGCTCCCAATATTTACACTGAGGTAGCATGTTTGGTGAACCCTGACAGGTGACCTCTAGCATGGTGCAGAGCTGTGACATGAGGCTGTCACAGAGTACAGTACTGGATAGGCTGGAGAAAGTTTGCTTTCTGTTCTGAAGGTGACAGGAAGCCAATGAAGGCTTCCTTGAGAAGGAGAGAGACTTGATTTACACTTTTATTTCACTCTGGAGACTAAGACTAGAGGAGTAAGAGTGGAAGGAAGAGTGGAAGCCCAGTCGAGGCGTTTGTGGTCCTGTGGATGAGACTGGCTTGAATCAAGGTGGTGGGGTCAGAGCAGAGAGGAACCTGTTTCAGGAAATTTCAGAGGTTCAACCATTGGGACTCTAGGTAGTTTGAGTCTGGAGAGAGGGAGACAGGAATCACAGAACCAAGATGTTTTTCTTGAGTAGTGAGGTAGAGGGTGGTGTTGAGAGGAGGAAGCCTGGGAGAGGAGCACGTGGACAGTGTGAATCTTCAGAAGGGGTTTAGAAGGCACTCCTCAAACTTGGCCTTAGGACTTATTGTATAGAGCATTCTGCTGCTGAGGGTTCCAGAGAGCTTGTGTTGAGAAATGCTGGGCTCATCACTGCGCTGGAGTACCCTGGGGCATCCATTTCTCTGGTAGGCGTATGTTTTCTTAGAGAACCAGATGTTCCAGTGAGGACGCCCATCTCTCAGTAAGAAACACATCCTGTCGTTAATAAATGCTTTACCTAAAGAAAAGCCAAATTCACCTATGCCAAGTTTTATATTCATTTATTCCAGCTCTATCCTGTGGCCCCCTCACCCCACAATGCAGGGGTGTGGACCAGCATTCGGAGTTGCTTTATGCCCTCACTTAGCCTTTATCTGGTCCAGACTGGGTTACTTTTGAAAATGACTGGTTTCATCCATTGTATCTTCCCATACGTTGTTCCAGAGGTCATCTTCTCAAGGTCAAGGGATATGCTATCCTAAGCTAACACTCTGGCTTTTAATTTAAGAATACTAAAACTCTGTCACTGGCTCAGTCCCCCTGTACTGTTATCCCTCAAATCTGTCTTTGCCAAGAGTAATGGTTTGAGTCCTTGACTATCACTGTCAAATACTGATGCAGCCCTCCATTGCCAGTTTTGTTCTGATCTTCTGTTAGAGAAACATGCCTGTATAGTGTGTACTTCAAACCATTGCAAATACGAAGCTTGGTGACTTTTCCATGATGTTGGTTAATCCAGGAGAGTGGAAGCTGGCAAGGGAGATTTGAGACTTTGACATAAAATATCAGCAGCTCTTCCATGACAGCTAATTGGAGGCACATTCTGACCTTTCCACCTTAGTGCTTCTCATTCGTCTGTGTGATAAACTCAACCCATGTTTCACCTGGTGAATTGCCTCACTAGTCTGGCGTGCAGGGAATGAGCACAGTCACCAGGACTTGCTTCCTGCTTCATCAGGGTCTACCTTACAGTTACCAATATTCTGCTGTTTAGGAAAAATGAAGAAAATCAATTGCTTTATTAACCCCTCCCCCCATTTCCTCTTTTACTTGCTAAATCTAGTGACACCGGGTTGCATTTCTCAGATCCCTCTTTGAATATGGTATAAGATGTACAGATACAAGAAAAAGATTGCTTTCAGGAAAGACTGCGTTCAGAAGGCAGTAAATACATTTAATTTTTTCTTCAACTAAGCCAACCGAGATTCTTCAAATGTACAAATTTATGCTCCAAAGCCCAGAACTTACCAAGCTCAAAATACTTTAAATGACCATTTTTATAACATTGAAAGCAAGAAGGCCAAAGACCAGCAACACTTGGAGACATTTATTCTGTTGTTTTGGGTCCACTTTATGGCATATTTGGCACATACATCTGAAAAGCATCTTGGTAGAACAGTGATGAACAATAAAAGCATTGACAAAATTAGAGAGGTCTATAGGATGTTTCCTTGTCAGAGGCCCCTGCTTCAATGTCTCCTAGTGGAAGAGACCCAGACAGTGACTGGTAGCTGAAAAGAAAGAAAACTTCGAAAATTTTAAGGTCATCTTTTTTTTTTTTTTTTTAAGATTTATTTATGTATGCATACAGAGCTTGGATACAGGCCAGTGGTGCAGGGGCAGTGAGTGGATTCACCAGAGACAGAGTGGGGAGCAGAACAGGTGGAGCCACTGAAATACATTGATGAGTGGAGCAGTGGGAGAGACCGGAGAGGTCGGCTGTACCCTGTGGGTCAGCTCCCTGGCTGGGGATGGAACTTTTGCTGAGGCAGCTGTGGCTCACTTTGCAGTGCTGCGCTGTAACCCATTGCACCACTGGAAGGCCTCTAAGCTCATCTTAATAACAGTTTCACCAATTTGGAAATGATCAAATATGTAAAATCATGCTGCATTTGGTGGAAGTTTGGGCAGAGGGAAAACCAGGCTTCTCTTGTCATAAGACTTCTGTGATATGCTGTGTCTAATGTCCTCTCCCCCTACTCATTCACCTTTCCCACTTTTTTCTTTCCCATCATGCAGTGCATCATTCAAGGATTCATCTCAAAGCAAAATCATCCGCTTCACTCTGGGTCAGAAAAAGATCTCTAGGTTAGACCTTGTCTGTGTCCTGCAAAGCATGGTTTCTACCTGATGCGTGGCTCCCTTTGCTCGACCTAAGCTTCCTTTTGTTCCCTCTCACCCTTTCATGTTTGCAGCTCGAGAAAATACACACTTTGGCTAATGATCTAGTGTTGGGGAGTTCTGAGAGTGGCTGTGGGATTTTTGAAACTCTCTCTGTGTGTGTGTGTGTGTGTGAGAGAGAGAGAGAGAGAGAGAGATTTTGAATTTGATTATTCAGTCATCAGAATTCATTCTGATTTAAGGAGAGGTGAGTTTCTAGATGCTTTTTTTTTAGTGGTTTCATGGTGAGTTTGGCTCCCTGCCTTGGCCTGACTCCATCCTTCCTCACCTGCACCTCGTTTATGTGGTTGTGCTTTTTGTTCCTGAAATTACTAATGTAGGATTGACGTTCTCTTGAGTTATAAAGATCTGAAGCGTGAATCCAACTGGCCAGATGAGACAAAGCAGCAAGGTATCTGAGGCTACCATTTATTGAATACTTGCTATGTTTCACTTTGATGCATTATCATATTTAACACATCAGACTTTTTGCAGTAGGTCATTTTATTATCCCCACTTTATAGGTGAAGAAACCAACATTTAGGAAGTTACCCAATTTGGTAAGTTACCCAACATCACACAGAAAATGAAAAAAAAACTAGGAGGTGAGCCCAACTCATCTATAACTCACCCTCCCTCTCACTGAATGATCATGTGCCTCTTCTCCCCTCTGAATTTTGGCGTGTATATGTTTGCTGAGACTGCTTTTTAAAGCAGGGTATTCCACCATTACCCTGGACCTATCCCTCGGTTGTCCTTGTGACAGCCTCATGGGACCTAATGGAGGCGGGTGCTGGGGTCAGATCTCCTCTTCAACATGACTAGTATTTACTTTTCATGAGCACGTCCCTTAAAGCTAAAGGGATACCCACACTGCATTTTCATCTGTATTCTTGTAACAAATACATACTGAGCATCTTGCTGACCCACTCTCTTAGGCTCTCGGTGTCTTTGCTAATCATTTAGAATTTGCTTTTCTAGAAAGCTACACATGGGGAGACCCAAATCAGGATCTGGCTGGTGGGCAGAGAAGCCACACAGGGCATATACTTCTCTGTGTCCTCAGCTTGTTACTTGGTTTAGAGGGATAGGAGGGAGACTGCATTTGTCACTGCTTCTTGTAGCGCAGATCTTACGGCACAAGTCACCTTAGCTGGAGTGACTCAAACAACAGAAATTTATTTAGCAAGCTCTGGAGATCAGGACGCCCAAGGTCAGGGTGCCAGCGTGGTGAGGTGAGAACTGTCTTCCTCTTTTCCAGAAGTCTGTGTTCTTCCATCTTCTCACATGATGGGGCAGTGGTGGGAGGGAAAGTGAGCTCCACACCCCCAGTCCCATTATGACGACTCTACCTTCATGACCAAATTACCTCCCCAAAGCACCGTCCCTGTATACTGTCATGCTGGGGAGTGGGGGTACAATACATGAATTCCGGGGATCACTCCCATGCAAGGAGTGAATGCTTCCTCTGACAAATACAGTGAGGCCCAGATTGGGCATTCTGGTTTCTGCGTGCCATGCAGATGTCCATACAGAAAAAAGGAAAGGAGAGTGTGAGCTTGGAGGGAACCTGAATCTAGCATTTGTTCCCAGGATGTGCTCAGTGCTGGAAGATAAAGAAACCAGGAGCTAGCTGGGAAAAGATCTAATTGGAAGCACATGCCCACTGTGTGAAAGATTTGTTATCAGTCCCAGATGGTAGGGGGAGGCAGCGGTTGGGAGGCAATTGAAAGAGAGGAAGAACTGAGGATGAGGGTCTATCTGCTCATGCCCCAAGGGTGTGCGAACTCCAGGCTTCCAAGCTGGCCCAAACCAAGGTCTGTGTTCCTTCCAAGGTCATACACCTCACCTGCAGTTTCTTTGGGCTGCATTTGTCTCTGATGAAGCTAGTGAAGGGATGTTCTTTGTTTCGGTATTTGCCTAATACTCCTCCTTGTTTTCTCTCCCCACCACTCCCCCACCCCCAGACTTGAGCACAATCCTGATAAGCATTTAGCTGATCCAGCACCACTGGAGTGTAGCAGTAGAGTCCAGTTGCCAAAAGAAACAGCCCTACCCCTCTGGCTCTGTCAGATACCTCTCCCACAGCTCTGGAAATAGGTCTCTTAGTCCAGTGCAAACTTTGAACACCTGCCTGCACCAAACACCTTACGAGGCACCAGAGATATTGAGCAGGAATTTGAATGTGGGAAGGGTCTTGTGAAGGGTGTTTGTGATAGCAATAAAAGATTTCTGTGAAATTTCTGCCTTTGACCGCTGTTGCCCCTGGCATCCCTGATGAGCCTTAAGTGCTTGGGTTATTCTGTCTGCAGGAGACAAAGTAGCTCCTTCAGCTGACTCAAACCTTAGTGAAATACCCATCTTCATCACTTCCTGTGCCACCTGGGAATTTAATTTCTCCAAGCCCGTGTTTCCTTACTAGTAAAATAGAGTAGGCCTCCCTCCCACACAGTGTCACATGGATTAAAAAATTCCAGTCCTTTAACCTGGCCGTGATCAGGGTGTCAGGCCTGGCAGGTATGTCAGTGCTGGTGTTTGGGTTCACCTGGGCCAGGTGAGGCTACCGGACCAGATAGTAGTGCCGCAGAGTTAGTCTCCACAGGACCCACTGGGGGAGAAGAGGCAGTGGACCTCGCTCTTTGGACCTTTCTGCCCAGCTGCTGAAAAGCAGATGCCACAGAGATGAGGGATTTAGCATTTAATCACCTGGTCTGGCTAAGAGCATCTCTGGGGGAGAGTGGTTTTCTTCTGCCCTCACATCCAGATTGGGGGGCCAGGATGTGCTTGAGAGCAGGAATCCCCCTTGCACATGTTAGAGTCATTGACCAGGATTCCAAGAGCAGTAAGCTATTTCTTCTGTCTCCTTGGTACCCCCCTTCCCTTACACTTAGTTTTTATAAAAAGAAAAGCAACTTGTTTGTTTCAAAGAGCCCATCTGTGTCCGCTGTCATTTTGTACCTATGTTTGGACATGGAGTGATCTGAGGAGTGAAGAGGCTCTGGCAAAGGAGTCGCTGGAACCTTCTGGTGCTGTAGATGATGCGGGGTATGAAGCATGGGGGTGACTTCCATGCTCCCCTCCCACTGCTGTTCTTCTGTGAGGGGCACCTCAGGACCCAGGTCTGGAGCGCAGGGAGATTCTCCTGGAAGAGGCAGCCACTTCCAGGCTGAGGCTTGATACCAGGCCCCTGTGATACTCAAAGATGTAGACAGTAATCAACACTCTTAGCTAACCAGAAGCCTGGGGTGTGGCCACTGGTAACCAGAATAGACTCTGTTTTTCTTTTCTTTCTTTCTTTCTTTCTTTCTTTCTTTTTTTTTGTTTCTAGAATTGGAAAATAGTCTGCTATTCAGCTCTTTTCTGCTCTTGGCCTCCCTAACTGGTGCACCATTGCTAGAAAGCAGGACAAAGTTCAGGAGTCACAATTTCAGGCTTGCTTCTCCAGCTCACGTCTCACTCCATCTCCCAAGCCCCTGCATGCACCACTCTGTCTTTCCTTTCACTATTTCTAGGCATCCCTGCATGAGCCCGCTTCTCCCTACCTGCTTGCCCTTCCCCACATTCCCACACTGGGTGCCAGCTTCTGGCTCTGGGATGTTTAATCTGAACTTTGCCCGACCACCTCATCAACCTCTGAGGATATCATTTTCTTTCTTTAAAGTTCTTCTGACCGTTGCATATTCTTGTATAAATACATGTATGATGCGGCTGTGAGCTGAGGTCAGGCAGCCCCTTCAGATCTAAATAACACTGAACTAGAACTCTTGTCTGGGTCCCTGTGGGCTGCCAAGGGGGCTGATAACAGATAAGATTTTGCTCAAGGTTGTGAAGCTGGAAGACCAAAGTCAGAGTCAGTTTCTGGTGAAATTCCTCTTCCTGGCTGTCGGCTAATGTCTTTCCAGCATGTAATCACATAGTAGAAGGTGCCTGGCAGCCCTCTGGATCCCCTTTTGTAAGGGCTCTAATTTCATTTATGAGGGCTGTACCCTAAACACCTCCTGAAAGTCCGACCTCTTATACCAAGACATTGGGCCCTCGGATTTCAACATGCGAATTTGGGGGGTGCACATTCATCCCACAGCAGACTTCATCAGTTTTTAGAAAATCCAGGGTTCTCCTCATGCCTGCTCAGGTACCTCAGACTCAAGATTACAGTTGGCTTTGAAATTTTACAACTGAAATCCAGTATAGCAATTCCGTCTGAATTAATTCAGTTTGCGTTTTGACTCGCTATCCAAGAGGATGTTTTAGTTCCCTTGTGGGTGGATCCAAGCGAAGCCTTTTTCCTGTGCAGTCCTAAAAACCTGTGGTCCATCTGTGAGTCCAGGCCCAGGGTCAGGGAAGTGGAGGAAGTCTAGCAGGAGGAATCTCTCTCTGCCCTCTTCCTTGCTATCTTCTTCTCTGCCTTTTGCAAATCTCCTACTGAAGTAGAATGCTGTGACCTATTCCCCTGCATCTCTTCATTCCGTACATCATCTTGGAACAAGCCTGTCCTCCTTTCCAGACCTATCTGTGGGCATAAAGACTCCTGCAGACTATGGCTGGGGTAAGGAGTTCAGCTCAAAGGGGCCTCATCTGCACCTGCAGAAGCTTTGTCACTGGCTGTGAGATGACATAGAGGGCTTGCAAGATGCAAGCAAGACACCCCACGGCCCCATTGCTATACTTCCTTGATCAGTTGTGGTGACCACATCTGGTCCCCTAATACAGGCACTATTGGCTATGTACCCACTCTGTGCCTGTCTTCATGGAATGATGAATATCTTATCTAATCAAGATAGGGCAGAGAGGGATGAATCCTAGTGGTGTGAGAAATAGTGCCTTCCCATCGCCACTTGTAGGGGGCAGCCCTCACCCCCTTCTTCCCTCCGAGATCCCAGTCAGGGAATCGGGCCAGCTGCTTCTTAAGTGTATAAATTTTACAATCCTCTCACACCAGCTCATGTTCTCTGTTTACTCTATAGCCATCTTTCTTGCTCAGCCAACAAGAAAAAGTTTAAAGTGATTGCCTGCTTATATCTAAAATGCTTCCAGACTGCAGACTTCTTTGGTACTTACAGATTCACATGGAGAAAGAAAGCTGAAGGCTTTATGGGTTGAAAATTCAGACTTATCGCTGGATCTAATGCTAAGTCGACTGAGGTGCCAGTGGCTTTTAAACACAGCTAAGTGGGTCTTAGCTGAAAGATATAACTAAATGTTTCATCATTTATTCATCTTTCAAGTTTAATGATTGGAAACAGTGTGCTTATTAGTCCCTGAACCAAAATCTGATTTGGGATGTCTAACCCTTAACTGTTAGGGGAATGAGCCATAATATCTTTAGACATATTACAAAAAATTCTGCTGACTTATATCTCAAACCACCCAAAATGAGGTGTTTTATTTAAAGGGAAAGTGTTTGTCTTTAGGCTAATAGACTCCTGCTGACTTTACAGAAAGAACATATGATTTTATCCATCTACTGTGTGGAGCAGCTGGGCTTCTGTCTCAAAGTAATGCCTATGGAGACAGGTTTTCATGTGTAAAGAAAAATGTATATCTAAACAAGAATTTTCATCCTGGCCATAGTTTTCATTGCATATGTACTGGGTTCTGCTATCACAGTTCCCTTTCTGAGCTTTATAAGTTAATGTCTTTTTCTTGATACTTACATCCCTGGATTATTTTAGTACCGACCATGAGAGAGATACACAATTCAGTCTTATACACAGGCTTTTATGTTCCACACTTTCAATAGAGTTAGAGATGTTAAAACATGTGACCCTCCTAAAAAGTAAAAATGCTCATTCAAGAAAAAGGAAGGTGAGCTTTGTGTTTTTAATCAGCAAACATATTCTTTTTTTTTTTTTTTTCCTCTCAAAATGCCTCTTTGCTCAAAGGAAAACTGCTCATGTTTTGCTGTTGGACTTTACTGGGGTCATTAATAGCCTAGATGTTTGTTCCACTAAATCTTTTGACTCGCAAGCCTCTAAAAACCCAGTGTCTTGAATGGGCCCTTTCATGTCCTGCATGGTTCCAATTCCTTCTTCTGAGGACACTGCTGTTCTCCTGAGACTGAATCTATTACTTTGTTGCTTTTGCATTTTAGACTTCCAGGTCCTACCGCAAGGGTATCCGCTGCAGGCAGCGAAGCCAAAACCCGCGGAGGGTCAGCCACTGCTAACAACCGACGCAGTCAGAGCTTTAACAACTACGACAAGTCCAAACCAGTTACCTCCCCACCCCCGACCCTGCCACCAAGCAGTCATGAGAAAGGTGAGTCATATTTTGGGGGTCTTTGGGCATTTTCTTTTATGGCAGATATAGCTCCTTCAGGTGAGCTTGGCAGGGATGGAAGTGGGAGGTTATAAATAAGGTGATGGGAATGGGTCACAAGAACATGCTTGGCTGGTAGGAACTTTGTTACCAGGGGCATTAAGAAAGTGGAGCAAGTACTGTTACAGTCATAGCAGTGATAGGTGTATTTGTTTGGGCAGGTGGGACTCAAAAGACACCTGGCTAAAGATAGAAGCAATATAATATTTACACCTTGATAATAAATTTTCATAGGGCATGCACTATACCTTAGGCAGTTTTCTAGAAATACAGCTTCTTGAGGTGTGTGAGCTGATAAGCCTTTTACCCATCAGATGTGATGTGAGAGGCCCTTTCTGGTGGCACAATGGGTTAAAGTGCAGCACTGCAAGCTGGCCACAGTCATTTTGGTGCAAATTTGATCCCAGCCCCAGAGGTGATCCACATGGCACGGCAGACCTCCCCAGTCTCATCTGCTGCTCCCCTCAGCAGTGTACTTCATCATCTGCCTGTTCTGCTTCCCACTGTCCTGGTGGGTCCTCTCACCACCCCTGCACCTCTGGTCTATACCCCAGTTCTATATGCATAAATATATAAATCTTTAAAAAAAAAAGTGAGTTAGAAATAGGGATTTTTACAAATTTTTGAAAAAGTCAGAAATGTGTTCAGCTCAATAAAGATCTTGGCAGAATTGCTCTCATGTTCTGATGATGTAACTTTTACCCAAAAAAGGAGATACATCCACAGTACTGAACTTTGTGGACTTGGGCAAAAACTTTGTGGAGGTTCTTGCACAGAGGTAATGCATTAAACCTTTGCTTGTTTCAGTCTAAATCTCATGAGACATTGGAGAAACAGTGAACTTAAGACAGCTTAGAAAATTTTCAATAAAATTCAGGGCTCCCCTCTCTTCCTCCTGGGCAAAGTGGCCTGGACTTTCCAGGTCACTTGGGAGCACCTCTTAATTCTCTGCCTTGTGTGTGCCCCTCTTCTCTCAGGGCCAGGAGAACCATCTCCCTCTTCCTTACATCTTCCAGGAACCTGAAGCATTCCTCCCCCCAATTGGGAATGAGATCAGAACCTCACAGTCCCCAAGATGACTTTGTTCAATAGAGCTGGGTTCTCCTCTCCATAAAGAATACTGAAGAAAATCTGATGGAAATGAATTTAGGGCTGATAGATCTATAATGGCAGATGGTTACTTGGCAAAGCCTTGAGACTCTGTAGCTAGCCCTGAAGCTGAAACCCAGACAACTAGTCAAGGCTTCAAGATTCTGCCTCAGTAACCATTTTTCTGCTCTCTTTTCCTCCCTCTTTTCCCGCTCCTCTTTTTCTTCAACCAAGCCCAATTGTGTTCTTTTATTTTTTAAAAAGATTTATTTATTTGCACATACAAGAGCTCTGTAGGCCAGAGGTACAGGATTGGGGGTGGTGGCGATGAGAGGATTCACCAGGGACAGTGAGGAGCAGAACAGGTAGACTGATTGAAATACACTGCTGAGGGAGCAGTGGATGCAACAGGAGAGGTCTGCTGCGCCATGTGAATATCTCCTGATAGCTTCACAGTGCCAAGACTTAACCCTTTGCACCACCAGGAGTCCCAGGTGGTTTTTCCTTTTGTTATTTTTTTTTAAGATTTATTTATTGGGCCCTCCCTGCTGGCGCAGCAGGTTAAAAGCACAGCACTAGAAGCTTAAACTACTTCCGCATGAGTTCTATCCCAGCCTGCCCCGGAGGTGACCACATGGCGTGGCAGACCTCTTCTGACCACCCGCTGCTCCCCTCAGCAGTGTATTTCGTAGATCTGCCTGTTCTGTTCCCCACTCAGTCTCTGGTGAATCCTCTCACCCTCCATATCTCTGGTCTGTACCCCAGTTCTGTATGAATAAATAAATAAATCTTTTTTTAAAAAATTTAAAAAACTAAGATTTATTTATGCATGCAGAACAGGGGTACAGGCCAGAGGTGTGGTGGGTGAGAGGATTCACCAAAGACAGAGTGGGGAGCAGAACAGAGAGATTGAAAAAGTATACTGCTGAGAGTAGCAGTGGATGGGTCAAAAGAGATCTGCCATGCCATGTGGGTCAGCTCCGTGGCCAGGGATTGAACTCATGTTGTAGTGGCTTTACAGAGCTTCACTATGAGGTGCTTTAACCCATTGGGCCACCAGGGAGAGCCCCCAAGTGTATTCTTTTAAAAAGTATGTTTAAATTACTTGTAAAGTGATACAAGTATATAGCAAATAAAAAGTTCTCTTTGACATAATCCCTGGAGGATTCCAATATAAACCAGCCTATGTATATCCTTTCTAGAGCATCCACTTATAAAACTATGCATAATATATAGAATGGTTTTGTTTTTATATACAGAGGAGGTAAATTTTATTGAATACTTACTGTACCACACTGAATACCCCCAAGCAAGCTATGTTGTCAACCTCATTGTGCAAAGGGTGAAACAAAGGCAAAGAAAGGTTAAGGCCACCCACAGCAGAAATAGTGAGAGGTGGAGTTGGAACTGACCCAGGTACATTGGTTCTGGGCTTTCCCCAGAAGTGGAACAGAAATGCTTGAAGCTTTGCCTGCTGAGGGCTACTAAGAAACATGCAGCTGGACAAGCAGAGATTTGGGAGGACAGGTAGGGGACCCCGATGCAGGGTCTTCAGTTGGCTCAACCCACCCTTGCCTCATGCTTGCTTTTCGAGCATAAACTGTAAGTCTGAAGGGTGTGCCTGAGACCCATCTCCCAAAGACAAAAATAAAGAAAAGTCCTTGTGGATGAAGCAGATGCAGAGAGAGGCAGTGGTGCCTGGAAGTGTGTCCCAGAGCTTACCCGAGACTCAGGGCCACTCTGGTAGCACCCAGTGCTGGGCCCCTCCCTAGTGCTGGGCCACCCAGGCCTGGGACCCCAAGTTGCCTCTGTCCTGGGCATCAAGCAGACAGAGCGATGAAGTTGTCTGAGGAATATGACTGTGATCCTTATAGATGTATTGCCTATTAGAAAGACTGCATCAGAGAGTCGGAAGCCATTCTTTGTTACTGAATATACACTGTTTGCTAGCAACTTTCAGATGTTTGTCTCGTACTTGATCTTCACAAACATTCTATGGGTGAGTGTCTTTTTAGCCCAATTTTACAGATAAAGAAGAGAGGCCACTTGAGATTCAGGGACTTTCCCTCCTGGGTTACTGAGCACAGGGATTCCTCTCTAGGTCTTATTTCTGGATTTGCAGGCTGCCCTGCCCTGCTTCCGAGAGATGTCTGTAGTGAGGATCAAATGATAGGCATGCAAATGTCTCATTGGCTGCACAAAATCCTTCAAGGATTCAGAATGATGAAAACTACTGAGGCATGTCTAGATGTGTGTGAGGGTTCACTTATCATTTCTCTGCTCTCTCAGGATCTGGGGTGAAGCAGGCTTGAGCCCGCTGGGTATTTTTTTATACTAATTCTCTTCTACCATCCTGAGGTAAAGGGGCAGTGTGATTTTACTTTCAGGAACTACATTTGCCTTCTTTCTTTCTCCCTCACTTCTGACCTTGATTACAGCTTCCAGGCTAGCCGGCTTACATGCTGGGACTAGCAGGTGGAGAGGGAACAGATAACGCAGCCACCTGCAGGCACTGGGGTGAGGAAGATACCTTCCTTCCCCCTGAGAAGTCCCCCTGAGAGACACACTTGTAAACAGATAAATTGCAGTTCGAGGTGCTCGTGCTGTTTGCTTGAGGTGCGGGCTTTCGGACAAGGTAAAGTTGGAGACACAACCTCTTTACTTTTCTTGAAGCTTTGTTGTGAGTCAGGCTTTGTTTGGTTGCATTGTTTCTAGCATTTTACTCTCAGATCAACCATATCATAGGTTTTCTTTGTGACCCACTGACCTAAGAATTTCATACTTATGCAAGATCTAATCATGTCAGTCAGTGGGATGAGAAATTCATTGTCTGTCAATCATGACAAAGACATAGCAATATTTAGTCCTAATTTTAAAAAGGATTAAGAGTTTTGAAAGGAAATTGTGCCAGGCAACTTTTCAGCTCCCCTGCCTTTCTACCCAGAATGCTTTAAACTCTGGGGAAAACACTTAAATAAAGGTTCCTTTTGGAAATCATGTCAAAGAAGTATAGATCTTGCCTTCATCACTGAAATCTAGTTCAGATTACACTCACTGAATCATCAATCGAGATGCTAAGGAGAAATACTTTATACTTTATATCCAGGAAAATCCTCACATTATTCACTTTCATCCTATAAGGTAACCAAGGAAACAGTTGATATATAAATGCCAGAGGAAAGAAAAGAACTGTTTCTGTTCCACAATATAACCTATTCTTTTTTTTTTTTAAAGATTTATTTATGCATACAGAACTGCGGTACAGGCCAGAGGTGCAGGGACGGTGAGAGGATTCACCAGAGACAGAGTGGGGAGCAGAACAGGCAGATCAACGAAGTACACTGCTGAGGGGAGGAGCGGGTGGGTCAGGAGAGGTCTGCTGTGCCATGTGGATCAACACCTGGGTGGGGATCGAACTCGTGCAGAAGTAACTTTAGCTTCTTAGTGCTGTGCTTTAACCCTCTGTGCCCCCAGGGAGGGCCCCAACATAACCTATTATTTCCCAAATAATTCTGATCCCAGACACTGTGAGGCCGGGGTGAGGGTGGGGGTGGATTCTGCAGTCCTTAGCCTTTAGGAAAACCTCCTTGCTGTGATTGTCATTGTCTGTCATGGCTCATCTGCCTTTGGCTGCTGCTTCCCACTCCCATAGGTGACGAGTCTGGCCCAGCCTTGCCTGGCCTGTGGGATGTGGGACCGGTTCTGTCCATCGCTCCCCACTTCTCTCTTGGCTCTGTGTGGCTCCAGGCCTCCAGACCAGCATCACAGATTTTCAGAGGAGAGGAAATTGCTCTTTTTCAGCATGCATGACATTATCTGCTTTCGCTTCCTTCTATCCCCTCACTTACATC